GGTGATATTCCACGGTGTTGCGGGAACACAGGCCGTCCTTCCAGCGCCGGCTCTGAGCCAAGAGGAAGATCTGAAAAGAAGGATATCAAATTAATCTGATAGATGTACAAGTGCTGATCAAGTTAAAATATTTCTTGGTTGACAGGCTAGCAGAAAAGATGAAAGACTACATAATTGGAATCCTTGCTTCAGCTGTAAAACCCAAATTTACATGGGGTCAGCATAATATATATTATAAAACCTTCCTCTACAGATTTGACAGAGAAAGATCTTGTGCCTCTACACATTTCATCAATAAGAAGAAAACTGTTCAATAGAATATCGATAGTTTTCACCATGTGAGCACATATCAAATACGTCCTGGCTCATAAACAGCCTATTATATCCCTTAATAATGGAGCGTGCTATGTGTGATTCACCATAGCCGCTTCCACCGCTTCTACATGTATTCAGTCACGTCCTACATCTGTTACATCTCAAGAAATAATCCACAGGCAGTCCACAATGGAGAGGGACTCAGCAACAATACTGTATGCCAAAACATTAACATTCAAATTGTTACTATGTAAGTGGTTAAATAACATTTTTCCACCCGTTTTATCATTAAGAATAGGTCATGAAAAATGATCAATAATTATCGATATCAACTGAAATTCCCTTCCAAATCCAAAGCTGAATGTTTTAATAAGTTGGAAATGGAAACAAAAGGAAAGCATTTAAAGCATTTCCTGAAGAGGTTTTAGCAAGCAGTGAAAGAAAATCACGAAATCCGAACTGAGAAGAAACTAGCAATTCAAATCCTTTCTGAATGTGTTCGATAGCTACTTATCAGACAACAGTTGAATAAGCAGAACATAAACTTAAATGTCTTAAACTTCAAGCAGTCAACTCCCCTCTCATCCACAGCCGCTAGATTATATTACACATGCCAGTCGGGTGAAAATGTGTCTGACATGGACAATCTCCTGTTGTGTGCTACATGTGTTAAAGGGCAACTCCTGAAAATGTCCGTCATTAATTGGGATTTCACTCACTCGAGCAGAACAGACATTTTAGTTCATCGAACAGAATTAATCCCATTCTGAGCCAGGAAAAAAACCCAGCTGTTGTGATGCCAATGCTCACCTTCCTCTTGTTGTGGTAAGTGATGTAAACGATTGCGACCAGGAAAGCCAGGATGACCAGATGAAAGAAGAAGTGGGAGTCTTCATCCTCTGTGTTGTAGCCGTCTGCTCCCTTGTAACGGGTCACCTCCATCCCGTCTGCCGGCTGCAGCCTGTTCGCGGTCAGGTCTTTGCCGTCGTCATTGCTTTCATACGTAGTGTCCATGCCGTCATTGCCGTCGCTGTATCCGTAGTTACCTTTGTTGTCTTCGTCGTCGCCGTCGTCGTCTGAGTAATCATCCAGATCGGCGTGAGTTACTGGCTCTTTGTCGGTGGTCTCCGGCAGGTCTGAGTCAGAGTCCTGTTCTGTGGACGGGTTCAGGGCATTGGAGGGTTTGGAGTCCAAGGCAGGGACTTCTGGCCCTTCTGTTGCAGGTTTAGCTGGTTCAGGGGCTTTGACAGAGGTGGAGGGAGCTTCTGGAGTAGAGACTAAAGTAGTTTCAGTAGACACAGGTTCTTGTTCCTCAACTTCATCTTCATCTTTATCTTTTTTATCAGCAAGTGGTGCTGGTTGTTTGCCTCCATTGTTGACTGGCTGATGGGAATCAGAGTCATCAATGACAGTAACTGGATGCGTTTCCTTCTTCTTAGATGTTTTTGATTGAACGGTTGTTAAGAGGTTGTCTTTAGGAGCTTCTGTTGTTGTTGTTGTTGTTGTTGTTGCTGTTGTTGTTGTTGCTGTTGTTGTTGAGCGATTACCAGCAGGTGGTACAGGGTTCTTGGGATCTGGTACAGTGTTTTGACTGGAATTACTCTGGTGAGATGACATCTGCTCTGGGTCATCTTCTTTCTTGTTCACAGGGCTCAAGGAAGGAGCCGGGGACAGGTTTGCCTTTTGATTTTCGTCTGGCCCTGTCAGGTAAGAGGGACAAGACATGTTAGGTGAAGAAATACTCCTTTAAAATAATTGAACATATCCATTCGAAACGTGTGCACAGTAAAGAAAATACGTATTTTAAATGAAGGATGGGTACTTTACTGACCACTTTCTACGTCAACCTGCTCCTGGTGATGCAATGAGTCTGAATCCAATCTGAATTTTCAGTTTATTGAGCTACACTTTCATCTAAAGTGACACACTCATAACTCCATCACAGAGAGTCAACTTTGGAAATAACTGAAAAATTCACGTTTCACTCACAACAGCTTGTCTGGGTGTGAAAATATGCATTCCCTTGCAATTTAACCTAATCCCACAAACACTGCTGACAATGAGTAACTTCTCTCCTTTAAGACACAATGTGGTGGCAAGGCAAATTCGTTGTAATTCACTGCACTGACCACATTTCATTACTCTCAATAAGACATTTTCACTGACACATTTGAATATACGCCCATGCTAGCCAGGTTTTCCAATTCATAAAGTTTCCAGTAAAGCAGACAAACATTTCAGCTTCATAATATAATAAAAAAAATAAAGTGTTTTAAGTCTCAAGAATCTCGACAGCTGAATCAGTTCCTGGCTGTGTCTTTTAATGAGAGCTGAACTCTGCCTCATGCATCTGGCCCGCCTTCCTGAATCAATGACACCATTTAACCAACAAGTGTCAACATTATTTCATCCTGTGGGACTAGGAGGCGTTGCTGAGGAAGGGACAGGAGGAGAACACTAGGGACTTGAAGCACGGGATAAGACATACCCGAGAGAAGAAAGGGACTATTCATACACGTTGGCCATGGCCAGCATAAATAATCACTGAACAGAAGATCTTTGTGGCAGCAATGAGGTTATGGGCTTTTCTGTATGAAACAGCATGTAAGATATCCAAGCTTTAAGGTGGAGCAGCTTGGTCAAACTTGACAAATGTCGTCATATTTAGTATGTTTATAGTGTTTCCTTAAATCGTACATCTCACCGACAAGTAACGGCAGATTTGCCTCCACTCTTTATCGATTTGTCGTCATTTTGCTGTTTGTATTTCTGGCTAAATAAATATTTTACTTAATAGTGGCTGATCAAGTTAAGGTCATCCTCCCTCTGTATAAAGATTAGCTCTGTTCCCCTCCCAGTGACAACACCCACAAGAATAAACACTAGAGGGACATCCTCAGCATAAGGACAGCACATGATATGTGAAGATATGATTTCACAAACGGATGAAATATTAAGTCAGTAAATGTTGTAATCAGATACTGATGTGGCTCCAGGCTACAAGAGGATATTGTACTTGGGAATGCATCCATTACTAATGTCAGATCACAAGACTGGTGTGACAAATCATTTATAAATGCATGACTTGTGCATCACATATTGATGTAATTGATCTTTCTGGATTAATATAAAGTGAAAATAACTTTAAGAGAAAATAAAACACCTAGAGATTCGCGGTTCGAGTGAATACGGCGAGGCACAACTATATTATAAAGAAGAAATGGGCTTCATATAACAAACACAATTCTACAACCTGGCAGCCACATGCATGCAGTAACATGACATAAAAATGTTATTTAAAAGAAGATCACAGGCCGTAAAAATCAGTCAACACTACTGACTTTATCTCATCTCTTCATAAACACATTTCAGTCAATAAACTTTAAGCAGGACAGAGCCTGCCATTGAGAGCAACGTTACAGCCTCTACTGTGGGTTCCCAGTTCCTTCTTGATGAACTTCAGAAGGCTTTTCTTTAATAAACAGTGGGGCCACTGCACTGACAGGGGCTCAGTTAGCAGCTCAGATATATGACAAGGACATCTGGACCTGCTCACTTTGTCTGGCCACCACAAATCACTGGAGACCCCGCGGGGCATCACAAACCCTTTAACTACACTGCCATGATCATTTGGGGGTTATCATAAAACCGATATTTGAGTTAAGTTAACGGGTTGCACTCGGTTATATTCGGTATAGGTTTCACGATGGTTGTAAAGTTGACGAGCTTTTTAAGTTTGATTATAAAATATGACTTCCTGTTTTCTTGGTGACGCGTTTTGTGACAGATTACGTTTCAAAACAAGACGGTCGTCAAATAACTCACTGATATTACTGGTTTGATCCACTGCACTGTAACACTTTGATATAATTTAAATACAGTTTTATGATTATTATGGGATATACTGACAGTCTCGGTTGCTAGCATGACGTACTAGCCCGCTAGCTACAGTTAGCTACCCGAGGCTAGCGAACTAACAGTATTGTTGGTTGGTTTTTAATATATACTATATAATATATATTATATATATATATAGCTGTTAACTTACCTTGTGCTTTCGTCGTGTTTACCGGAGCTGACAGGCAGCCGCTGACGAACAGCTGCAGGAGAACAACCAGGAAAAGAGCACACAGATCTCTTCTGCAACGCACCATCTTCCTGCACGTCGCCATGTTACTGCGTGAGTGAGTGGAAAGGCGTGGTTTAGAGAGAGAGAGAGGGGGAGGGAGGGAGTGAGAGTGAG